CCTAACTTGTAACAAGTGCGGTAGAGACTCGAGAAGGTAGGTGGGACACCCATGGTCAGCAGCACAAGAAGGATATGGAAATGGCCAGTTGGATACTCCTGAGAAGAGCCTACAGCACCAGAGCCCAAAAACTACGCAGGTAATAGCCAGTTGCAAAAAGCATCAGGGTTGCTCTCTGCCAGAGACAGGTGGCTGGAGATGCAAAGAGCCTTTTAAAGGCCAACGCATACATTTCTATTTGCAGCCACTTACCCTGGTCTCTGGTAAAGGCAGGAGCAGAATGGGCTCAGAAACACCTGAGGAGAGACTGGGGAAGGAGGTTTTAGGGAGAGAGCTGAGAGAGTACCTGGCAGGATCCCAGTGCTGACTCCTCCACCATAAAGCAGCAGTCATCTGGCTCAGGCAGACCACTGCCCTCAGTGGGAACAGTGTGAGAGGACACAATAGCCCCACCCCCCAGGAGGGACTCAGCCCTGACCCAGTGGTGCTAAAGCCTGACTGCTGAGTACAGTGGCAGCCACAGACAGTAGATCCCTAGCTAAAGGGGGTGCAGAGCAATCTAGAGACATTTGAGGAGAGACTGGAGATAGATGCTTTGGGGAGAGAATGGAGAGAATAGCTGACGGGATCCCAGGGCTGACTCTTCCCCCATATGGGAGCAGCCATCTGGCTCAGGCACACCACTACCCTGAGCAGCAACAGCATGAGAGGACCCAATGATCCCACCCTCAGGAGGGACTATGCCCTACCCTGTGGTGTCTAAGCCTGGCTGCTGAGTGCAGTGTGACTAAAATAACAACTGAAAGAGACAGCCACAGACAGTAGATTCCTGGAAGTCTTGAACAGAGTGCCTAAGGTCAGACAGAGTCACCATCTGACATCATCAGAGGGAGATCCAGAAAGAAGGAACAGTGGTCTCTTACCATTGAAGTTCACACCACAAAGTCAGGAGATCAAGACAGACCAATTCAAGAAGCAGAAACAAAAAAGAAGTCTCACAAGTAACACCCTCTAGTTGAAGGGAAAGGAGGAATCCCCAGAAAGAGAACTAAATAAAATGGAAGCAAGTAGACTATCAGATATTGAGTTCAAAACGATGGTTCTAAGGAAGCTCAAAGAGCTCAGTGAGCTCAGAGGGAATTACAAAAAACTACAGGGAAAATATTAGGAACTTACTGCAAACTATATCACCATGAAAAAGGACAGAAACTATCAATAAGAGACAAGAGGAAATGAAGAATACAATTTTTGAATTGAAGAACAGAGTAGAAGGAATCAAAATCAGGCTAGATAAAGCAGAGGACTGAATCAGTGAGCTGGAAGACAAGGCAGAAAAAAGCTCCCAGAAAGGGGTAGAAAAATGAAAAAAGACTCAAAAAGATTCAAGAGGCATTTATGGAAATGCAGGACAATCTGAAATGTAATAATATCCATATAATAGGGATACCAGAAGGAGAAGATGATGAAGAAGGGATGGAGAACCTGTTTGAAAAAGTAATGATGGAAAACTTCCCTAATTTGAGGAGACAAAAAGTCACACAAGGCCAGGAAGCACAGAGGGTCCCATTCAAGAGGAACCCAATGAGGCCCACTCCAGGACACATCATAATTAAAATGGCAAATATCAAAGATAAAGAGAGAATCCTGAAGGCAGCATGGGAGAAAGAGGTAGTAACATATGAGGGAACTCCAGTACACCTAGCAGCTGATTTCTCAAGAGAAACACTATAAGCCAGAAGGGGATGGCAAGAAATATTCCAAGTGATGAAAAAGCAAAGGCCTGCAGCCAATACTGCTCTATCCAGCAAAGCTCTCAATTAAAATGGAGGGAAAATAAGGAGTTTCCCAGACAAAAGAAGGCTAAAAGAATACACCTCCACCAAACCTGCATGCAAAATAATGCTAAAGGGACCACTTTAAAAATATGAAGAGAAAGAGTCTATGAATACCTTGTTCCTTTGACAGTCACCAATACTTGATATTACCAATATTTTTAATACTTATTAATCTGATTGTGACAATGATGTGTTATTTTAATTGTTACTTCATTATTTGCTGAAACTAAAACTGTTTTTGTAAATTCCTTGCCTCTTTCTATTATTTTTAAAGGGCTTTAAAGGATTTTTTGGTATTCTTTATGCATTTTTTGATTAAATGTTTATATAATTTTTTCCCTAAAAACAGAACAAAAACTGTTAACCCTTTTTTAGATGTGCTGGAAATACTTTCCTATTCTATCACTTGTCCTTTAACTTTTTTTTATGTATATTACTGTATAGTCTTAAGTGTTTAATATAGTCATATTGTCAATATATTACTTTATAGCTTCTGGGTTTGAAGATTTTACTTCAGGGTAAGAAAAATATTATTTTGTATTTTCTCCTAGAACTGCTTACATTTTACATATTGATTTTTATCTCATCTGAATATTTGGTGTATAATGTGTGAAATAGGGCTCTATATTTGTTTTATTTCATGTAATAGTGGTTCATGCACCTTATTTGTTGAATAAGCCTTATTTTCCCTATTGATTAAAAATATCAATGTAGTCATATATTGTTAGATATATACATTTGTTTCTAGAATGTTCATTTTATTTCATTGATCTACTTCTGTGCATTGATTATTTCTGTGCTGGTGTCATATTATTTTAATTGCTGAGACTTTATAATGGATTTAAATTTTTTAGTATTTGATAATGTATCTTGACATTTAAAATAAATAAATAAATAAATAGAATCAATCTGCATTTAAGAAAAAAGAAAGAAAGAAAGAAAGAACTCCTACCTTTTGTGACAACATGGATGGAACTGGAGAATATTATGCTAAGTAAGATAAGCCAGTTGGTGAAAGACAAATACCATATGATCTCACCTATAAGTGGAATCTATTCCACAAAATAAACTAACAAACAAAATAAACCACAGGGATGGAAACATGGAGCAGACTGAAAGTGACCAGAGGGGATGGAGACGGAGGACAATGGTAAAAAGAAGGGGAAGAGACTAGGCAAAGAACATGTATGAATGACCCATGGACATGGACAACAGTGTGGGAATTGCCTGTGGGTATGGGTAGTGTCGGTGGGATGGGTGGAAGAGGGCAAAAGGGGAAAGATTGAGACAACTGTCATAGAATAAACATGATTTTTAAAAAAGAATTAAAAAGAAATAAGGAATGACCTACAAATGGGCTTGTAGGAAACTTTTGGGATGTGGGAAATGTTCTTTATTGTGGAGGGAGTTGCATGACTATAATGTGGCAGGAGGCAAAGCATTGTGGGGAGTGCTGCGGTAGAGCGTGGGGCTCCTGGATCTGAGGGTTACTGTCTGGAGCCAGCTTCGGAGGGAGCGAGGCTCTGAAGCCTGCAGAGCCTGTCCTGGGGTTGTCATGGATGGGGGGAATAAACACATGTCATCGCAAACACTTCTCTGTTTGCCAGGAGAGGGGGCATGGCTTTTCCCTCTAGGGGAGAGAAGGCCCCAAGCCCCCATGTCCAAAGGCTGTTATTGAGAACCATATGCACAGGGGTATGGATGCAAAGCTCATCAATCAATGTCAAAAAGCTATGTTTACAGAAAACAAATAGAGATCATAGATAACAATAGGAAGAACACAAGACATCTGCCTCAGGTCAGGGTCTATGAGTAATGTAAATCTCCTTCCCAGTATGAGCTGGTTATCGTCACTTTTGAGGGAAGAACAAGCATGTTTAGAGGAACTTACTCTTACACCTGATTGTCCCTGGGAACTGTCCAATCTAGTTTAGGGCTGTACCTGCCTTTAGTATTGTTTCAAGTCTGAGCCAGGTAGGCAGGGCAGAGCCGCCATGAGATAAGGAGATTTCTTTCAAATAGAATGAAGACTCCGGCCATGTCCAAGCCGAGCTGAGGGGTGTGGACCTTTTTGCCCTTTCTTCATGTCCCCCAAATCCTTGTCCTGCTGTCCTTACCAGCTGATGTCTGGCTTAGGTTTTCCCTCCTCTTGAGAGAACTTACCCGTCATCAACAACCAACCATCACAGGGGCAAGCAGGGTGATGTGAGGGAGACAGGGGCTGTGCCCCTGCCAGGGGGACAGGTTTTGTCTCCTCAGTGGACTGTTTTCCCAAGGCCTCCTTGATTAGCTCCAGCCTTGGGGCCCACTTGCCTGCTGGCCCACTTGCCTGGTCCCTTTCCTGCCGGCCCACTTGCCTGGTCCCTGAAACCAGGTGAGGCTTCCCAACAGTGTAAATTTGTGAAAAATCAGCTGTATACCAACAATGGGTGACTTATACTAAATGTAAACTGTATCACAATTATCCAAAAAAAAGCGTTGCAATAAATCCAAAATTAATTGCATATAAAAAAGAGTAAGATAAAAGAAAGAAAAAAAGAATGCTACAACATGGATGAACCTTGAAAACATTATGTCATGAGAAAGAAACCAGACACAATGGATACATGTCATGAGATTTCATTTATATAAAATATCTACAAGGCTGTAGAGACAGTTGTTCCCAGGGACTAAGGTGCAGTGTGGGCGATAGAGAATGACTGCTAATGGGTGTGAGTGATGAAACTTTTCTGGAATTAGATAGCAGTCATTCAAAGAACCCCTTTAAAGTTAAGTGGACCTTCCTGTCTTTGTGACCTTTAACATAAATTTATGGTGCTAATTATCTGCTAGCCTTGTGCTAACCCCATTACAATCTAGTGAAGTAGGTATATTAATGCTTCAAAAGAGGAACAAACCTAATGCATAGAGAATTTGACATGTTACTCCACATTTTAAACCTTATTTCTATACCTCTGAAATGGGAATAATTATCTCATAAATGAGATGGCATGTAACACTATTACTACAGTGTTGGTAGATGGTACAAACTCAGAAATTGGAACATCTTGTTGTTTTTAAGTGGATGCAATGTAATCCATATTACCTTCATGTAAAAGTCATACTAACTTCCAATATATTGCAGTGTTAATAATATAAAACATTTTCATTTGTTTTTTAACATAGGACCCCCTGGAGCAGCTGTCCCTCCACCTATAGGTTACCCAGGAGGCTTTCCTGTGAGATATTATAGTCAACAGCAGCCCAGTACCTTCCCCTACTGCCAGCCAACTGGTGGCACCTATCCTATTCAGTACCAGCCTGGCAAATATCCGGTGTCAAATCGACCTGCTCCAATAACGTGGATGCCAGGGGCAGCTCGAATGCCAGGCTGCCCTCCTGGCCTGGAATACTTAATCCAGGTACTTCACACAAATCCAATTTATATTTCCTAATGAAGTATGACGGGGAATCCATCAGGAGACAAAAGGCTGAACTGAGTGGATAAAGTGGTGGGTCAGTGATGACAGGTAATCTAGTTTATGAGACTGTAAGAGTGTTGGTATTAGTGTTAGAAATGTGAAAGGAGACTATAGAGTCTAGGCATTTTTTGGTGGGATGAGTATGGTTTTTATAAAGGATAAGTGTTGAATTTTAAGACATTCATGATGTCCTGTTGAAGGCAGTTTAAAAAATATGAATACAAATATAAGAAAAACTATCAAAGATGCTAATCAGGGTGCTGTTTGCTTAGAAATAGAGTTAACATAAAGAAAAGCAATATAAAAAAAACAGAACAGTAAATAGTGAGTGAATTACTGAGTGTCTTAGCCCATTGCCTTTTCTCACCACCCATAGTTTTCATCATCCACCCCGTCATTCCCCAAAACATGCAACATCTATAAAAACAGGGGACCTACCAAAGATACCACTTCAGGTTAAGTTTCAGAGAACCCCTTCACATAGTCCAGTGACTCCATAACTTCCATTTACATAGGCATTCTGGAGCTACCAGGACATCCATATTAGAAATGGGCAATATACCAAGTTGGTGTACCAAATGATATGTTTCCCAAAATCCATATCAAAAACTCAAAAAGATTGCTTAATGAAAATAAAGTAAAGCTAGTATTGGAAATCCCTTAGAAACCACCAAGTCATGTTTTGCTTTTAGAAAAAGAAAGTATTGAAATATATTACAAGTAAGGGACTTGCCAATTCAATATGTGTCTTCCCATATAGCCAACCAAATATTCTTTGAAGTTGGTAAGTTTTTCTTTTCAATTTTATGCAATGATAGAGACTCTGTTAATCATGTACATTGAAAACCATTGGTACAATATTACAGTGTTGATACTTGCAAGCCAGTACAGTTGGATCAGGAAAATTTTGATTTTACATCAACCAAAATTTTTATTAAGTTGTTGTTTTAGCAAAAATAATGACCAAATGCAAAGCCAGTCATTCAGGTAAAGTATTAGTATAAACTCCAATATTATTTTAGAAGCTGATAAAATGTTTATAAGTTAATCAAGTTTAGGAAGTCTTTTTTTATACTCAGTGATAAATAACTGAAATTGTCCTTGGAAATCCAAGATCAGAAGTCATTTCTCTTTTGAAAATGTATAACTTAAATATTGTTCATTTAAATATTAAAAATAGTTTCTCAATTTGTTTTATTACTCTGACTGAAGGTACATTTGCATGTTTCATGAATTCTGTTTTCCTTTTTGGAAATGTTTTGAGTTTAAAAAAAAGTGAAAAAATAAACAAAATAGTTTTGGAGCCAGACAAACCTGGTTTTTATTTCTAGTTCTACTCCCCCCTTACTCTACAACCTTGAATAAGGTTTGTAACGTGCCCAGAATTTTTGGCACACAGAACTCAACCAATAGATGATAGTTGTGTGAATGTTATTAGTTGATGCACCTTGCATGTGAGCAGAAGGCATAGAGCCCATCACCTTCTTTATCATTTTCTTTATCCTAGCCTTTTTGTGATCTCATGTGCAGACAGCTGAATCTCTATCAGGACTATCAAGGCTCTAGTATCCAAAGTAGCAGAATTATATTATTTCTAGAATATTGGCTTGGCCAGTGACTCCACCAGTTGGTTAGAGAGCTGTTCTTTAACAGTCATTGTATCTTATTGGGCAAACGTCTTCCACATTAACAGGCATCGTGTCCTTAGAAAACCTTGCTCAGCAGTGAACGCTTTTACCATGCAGTGAGTATTTTCACTTCTTAATTCTAGATTTTAACATTCTAGATTTTTTGAGGGGTTATAACCCACTGTAGTGGTCACTTTTAATATTTTGTAAAGGATATATGTGGAGACATGGTTTAGACCCCTCACCTGATTATGTTTTTATATAAGAAGAATTTTTGAATGGAAGATTATATGCTGTCTATACCCTCCTATAATCAATCAAATCCCAAAACATTCATATCTAGTTGTTATTTTAAATTTTATTTATCACCACATTCATGTATTTCTCATTAATTAATGTATTCAACAAATATTTGGTGAAATATGGCATGTCAGGCAGTATTCTGGGCACCAGAATTACAAATGATCTAATTATCTATATTATCTAAAATTACATATTTATAATCATTCTCTCCTCAAGGAGGTTTTTTCTCCTCTGCAAGAAAATACAACAGATAACAGGCCCCTTAAACTGCCTTTTTTAAGAGTAGTTCCTAGGTAAAGTTAAGTTTGAAGTTTATTTAATGGTATTTCCAACCTCCCTTATGAATGGATCCCACCCCGGAAAGTTTCCTCTCCTTTGCCCTAATCCTCGTCACATGCTTCCTGCTCTCTCTGACCCCGCCATTACTGAAGTTTGCACCTGGGGAAGGTCTTGGTGTTTAGTACCTCAGGTGAATGAAAAATCAACATGTTAATCTCTCAGAAGTACCTGGAGAATGATATAAAGTTGGACACTCCTGTGTGCAGTAGAGTCTACCTGGCTGATTAACTCTCTTGATGCCACTGATAAAATTGCTTTTTTTATGGCTGGTCCATGTTAAACTGCCCTGAACTTCCTCAGTATTTTTAGTCTGTGGATGACAGGTCAGAGAGAACAGTGAGTAGGGACAGAGCTAGGGAAAACCTGGGTCAACCCAGCTGCTTCTAGATGCTGTTACTGTGGTGGGAGATAATTTTCTGATATTTTAGACAAATGTTTTAGTCTTTCAGTCTACAGTGGAACTGGAGAAAAGTGTGTTTTCTATCTCAATAGCACTAATAACCACTTGATCAGGAGCATATAGGCTTATTCCATGTGATCAAATATTTTTTTCTCTGTTCAGTTTCAAAAAGATATTTTGGTATTAACTGATACATTTTAATACCTATCTCATCAGTTTTTCAATGCTGATTTAATTTAATTACGATATTTCCATCCTTCCTAATTACTTTGTTCTATCCCAACAGTTGGACAACATACATGTTCTTCAGCATTTTGAGCCTCTGGAAAGTATGTATAATTCAGTAGTGTTTGTCAGTATTTGAACCAGGTAGAAATTTGTATTATCCAATATCTAGTTCCTCGCTTATACTGATCACTTTTTAGTAATTCAGGAAAGTAATAAAGGGAAATAGTTTGTACAGTTTTATCTATTTATATGTCACATGTAAGCTCTTAGACTTGAACAAGATTTACATTTTATGTGGAACTGCTCTACCCTTCACCTGTCCCAGCTCTTCCATGTTAACTTCCCATGGATGACGAATAGGAGCCAAAGTCTAAGTTAGTTAGTTAGGGGCACCAAGGTCAGCTAATCTGTGGCAGAACTGAAAACCTTCTGAGTTCTAGCCCAGTTCCATTGTTTTGGAAGTAGGAAGAAATCACAGTATACTCATATAATGCTTGTTCTCAGTTCATTCTTGAAAGATTACTGGCCCTCATTGTACCAGATCTACACATCCTTTGACCACCACATAGGGCTTTTGACTTTTCTTGGTTTGTTTTCTTATTTGCAGTTCATATTGACCCTGATCACCTCAGCACATTTCATGAGCTGGTTAATTTATGGTCTAATATATAATTTCATTTATATGTTTGCATAATTGTTTTTTGAATTCAGGTACACTAGGAATATTGTTTCAATCTTGATTGTATGTGGAAAAGTTTTTAAAATCATTTTACACTGAACTTTTTAAAAGAAATGTTTTAATTTTTTAAATTATTTAAATACTTATAAACACAAATTATTTTAATATTCTATTCAATCATATATATTTTACATGAAGTTTTATAAAAGTTATTTTGCTTTAAGCCCCTGAAAGGACTTATTTTTTATTTTTTTATTGGAGTATAATTTACATACAATATTATATTAGTTTTAACTATACAACATAATGATTCAACATTTATATTCCTTATGATATGATCATTAGAGTAAGTCTAGTAATCTTCTGTCACCATACAAAGTTACTACGATATTATTGACTATTTCACCTCTGCTGTATTTTACATCCCTGTGACTTTTTTTGTTTTTAATAACTGGAGGTTTGTACCTCGTATTCCTCTTTTTAAGGCCCACTTTACTTCTTATTTAAGATGGTCTTCTTGTTTTATCTTTTAGTGATGACATATTTTGAAACTAATAATAAATATGATATTAAAAACAACCTGGACCAGATGGTTTACATTGTAACTGAAGACACAGACGACTTTACCAGGAATGCTTATCGGACAGTGAGGCCCTTCATCCTCCGGGTCACTGATGTTATGGGCCGAGAAATCATGACAATGCAGAGACCTTTCAGATGCACCTGCTGTTGCTTCTGTTGTCCCTCCACCAGGCAAGAGGTCAGAGCATTGAAGTTTAATCCATTGTTTCTTCCTGATCCAGCTTCTCACTCATGGTTGTGCTCCTTCCAAAACTACACAGTAGGGGGTTTTCACTGGCTATGCATGTCAGAATGCAACAAGATAGTGAGGAGGGAGGAAGCCATGTTGTCTCCCCTAACGAAAATTACACAGGGCTTCTTCCTGTGGGTTTATGCTCTTCAGTGCTAATGGGTGAATCAAGCAAAATTATTTAATAAGTGACCACAATTCTATGAGTTGTGTCTACTGAATTTGAAATTAACTTGTCACTTAGAACAGGACTCACACACATTTATTTAAAGGTATGTATGTATCCTCAGATAAAGTATGCTAAGCTAAACATAGGCTTGTAGAATTAGAAGAGACTTTTAATAACTTCACACTGCCCATCACAACATTGACCTTGGCTATAGGTAAAGAAAGGGTGGCTCAGAAAGATGGAATGCCTGCCAATGGTGTTACACAGGGGAGGTGGCAGTGCTGCAACTGGAACAAAGTCGTTCTGAGTTGTAGTTCGGTTACTGTTCTGTGACCCGTGTAGCTCTAGGAGAGTTGTTTGCTGCAGGAAAGAGAAAAGCAGGGCCCTAACTGGTGTGGCTCAGAGGACTGGGCATCGTTCTGCAAACCCAAATGTCGCTGGTTCGATTTTCCAGTCAGGGTATATGCCTGGGTTGCGGACCAGGTCCCTCTCTGGTTGGGGTGTGCGTGAGAGGCAGCTGGTCCATGTTTCTCTCCCTCTCTTTTTCCCTCCCATTCCCACTCTTTAAAAATAAATGAATTAAATCTTTTTTTAAAAAGAAAGAAAGGAAAAGCAGGTTTGGAGAGGGGCTTAAGAGAATTTGAATTTCAGATATTCCACCTATTTAAATTTGGACAATTTATTTAACCTTTTTGGGCCTCACGGTTGTACTCTGGGCAGAACAATACCCCCTTGATTACTGGGATATTTAAATGATAACTGCAGCATTTACTATAGTAATTTATTTCAGCCCTTTCTGTGCCTTGATTTATTCACCTGTAAAATGAAGATATTAATAGCACCTATCTCATGGGGTTATTTTTTTGAGGATTAAATAGTAAATAAATGTCAACTACTTAACACGATGCCTGAAAGATAGTATAGTGTTTAGTGGGTATTAGCTATTGTTGTCAGATATCTTACTCCTTTAGCATTCTTGTCGTGTGTGTGTGTGTGTGTGTGTGTGTGTGTGTGTGTGTGTGTGTATCCTTACATTTGAGGTGAATTTCCATCACTTATCCTTGATGCTTTTGGTTAGGAAGCATTCTTTGTATTCATGAGTTGGGCTTTATAAATCAAAGCCTGTAAATTCCACCTTCCAAGATCACAGTTACCCAGGACAGAGTAAAGCAAGTCAATATTATAGTCTTAGTCCAATATTTGGAATTTTGTCCCACAACTTTATCTAGATTTCTTGAGTTTGATGTGTTCATGTGTGTATGTGTGTGTGTTTAGTTCTGTGCAGTTTCATGAGCTATAGGGATTCCTATATCCACCACCACAATTCAAATACCAGTTTTATTACCACAAAAAAGTCTTTTGTAACAACATCTCCCTTCCTTCTCTTCATCCCTAACTAGCAACCACTAATCTGTTCTCCAACTGTCATTTCAAGAATGTCATAGAAACAGAATCATATATATGGAACCTCTCAGGACTGTTTTTATTTTTTTTCCAACATAATTTACCTTGAGATTCATACAAGTTATGACATGTATCAATAATTCATTCTTTTTTAGGCTTGAATGTTATAGATTCTTTTAAAACTAATTTATTTGTATGCAAGTTGTTTTATTTATTTATTTATTTTACCTCAGGCCTAAACTTGTATGAAATCACAGTCCTAGAAAGCTATCAAATTTTATGTTTGTATATGTGTGTGCTTTCTATACCCATAACACATTGTTGTTTTCCCAACATAGGGTTTTCAGAATGCTTCTTTTCTGTATTGTTTTCTATTCTAATTGTCATGTCAGAGTTTTAAATATAAGAATTTAGTTTTTATTGTTTTGTGAATTGTGCCAGAAGATGTAAGGCACCTTGATAAGACACAGTGATCATTACAGCACAGAAAGTGGCATGAGCATCAGCATATTTATGTAGGTCCCTTGTCCCCAAGTTCTACAGAGTTGACTCAAAGGAGTTCCCATACACAGCTGAGGAACACCAACCTGGAGAACTGTCCATTATATGATAAATAAGTAGTAACTTTGTTCCAAAGGGGAGTATGACCTCACCTCTCAAGGCTGTTCATTAAAATACAGGCCTAAGAAATAAACCCGGTAAAATAGAAGACTTTTTCCCAGTATCAATTCCCCAGTCTTGAATGGACTAAGAACATATCTAGGTTGTGCCTATGTGCACATGACCTATGTAACACCCTCCTCTCTGTCGTGCCTCATTTGCAGCTGGAAGTGCAATGTCCTCCCGGTGTCACGCTCGGCTTTGTCATGGACCACTGGAACCTGTGTCGGGCAGTATACAGCATCCAAAATGAGAAGAAAGAAACTGTGATGCGCATACGTGGGCCGTGCTCCACCTACGGCTGTGGTTCAGATTCTGTGTTTGAGGTAAACAAACATAAAAATAATGTTTCCACCATCTTTTCTCTATGTGTAATAACAGACTTCAGATTGATTTGGTTTTAGATGATTTTTCATGCAAATGAATAGAGTAATATCAGGAGTTAGCTGGTTGACGTTATATGATTTTCAAATTGTTAGTGGATTGCTTAATGATTTCCAAAATGTGAACTTTATTTTTATGACTTTAGTATTGGTAAAGATAAGAGAAACCATTAAAATATTAATTCTGAGAGCAAATAGCATGACATAATCTATGTATTTTATTCTCAGTTGTATTTAATTAACCATTTTTTATCAAAGATTTCCAAGGTCAGAAAACAGGTCCTGAGTGACGAGAAGTGCCTACCATATCATAGAACATCTGGGCACCCCCAAGGCTGTGCACATTGCTTCTTTGCAGGATAAAAGTCTGTGTCCTCAAGAGAAAAGACAACACTGATAACATGGATAAAAATCATAATAGGTTATAACATTTTCTCAGGAAAAAGAAAAATCTTTTGCTTTTATTTCAATGGATAATCCTATGCATCTGGCAAAGGAGATTTCTAGAAATATTTCCTGAGCTTCTCAGAGTCCTTTCTGAAAGCCTTGCAATTCAGCAAGCTCATCATCTAAAATTGCTCTTTCCAGTATTTCCCATGGCACCCAATAAACTTCTTTTAGTTCTCATTTTACATCACCATGTCATCAAGCATTTATTTTTTAAAAGACCATGTAGAGAAATAGAAAATATAGATAAGTCAAATTCTAGGGGCAGAATCATTCTGTGTGTGGGGTCATTCTGATCGCCAAAAATCAGTATCTAAGAAGAAGCTGAAGTCCTGGATCTTGGCATAATTTAAGAGGAGAGAATCAATTTATTTAGCACACAAACGCTTGAGTGATTATAAGGAGTTTATGAAGTGCAAAAAACCATGTCTTATTGTTTTTGCTCATTTGTTTCCCTGGACTGGAAGAAATCCCCTTCCAATTTCTAACTCCTACCCTTTGCTATAGGGAGAAAAACTTCAGAATCAATTCAAATCATACCTCCCAACTCATCTAAGGACTAAGAAAGAACACTGGCCAGACAACTGTAAGATATACAGATTCTAGCTCAGTTGTTGACCAGTTGCAAGGCATTTAGCCCTTCTTGGCCATAATTTCCTAATTGAAATTATGTTTTAATATATTCATTTCCTGCACTGCATTTGTGCTCAGTGAAGCTGCTCCTAAAATAGAAGAATAAAACATGTATTATAACATTTTTCAGCCATCACACAATCAAATTCTTATCTTTCTAGGTCAAATCCCTTGATGGTGTCTCCAATATTGGCAGTATCATTAGGAAGTGGAATGGCTTGATATCAGCCATGGGCAATGCTGACCACTTTGACATTCACTTCCCATTAGACCTGGATGTGAAGATGAAAGCCATGATTTTTGGAGCTTGCTTCCTCATTGTAAGCCTTTTGTTTTTTAGTTATCTTGAGAGATTTATTCTTTCTGATGAGAAGCAATGTAGTAGAAAGGATATAGCTTTGAAACTAGACCAACTTCTATCTCTACCACCTACTAGTTACGTGTTTTATAAAGTGTTTAATACTTACAAGCTTTAGTCCCCTCATCTATAAAGTGGAGATAAAAATACTTATAATTGCAGGTTATAAATATTAACTAGTCAATATCATATGAATAAAGGGACAGGAGAGTAGAAGATATTAGACATCAGATGGGTGTAATTGTCACCAGTGCATGTTACTGATTGTTCTCACTACTTAAAAATGCAGGTCCTGCCCTGGCTGAGTGGCTTGGTTGGTGGCCCATATACCAAAAGTTTGTGGGTTTTGTACTCAGGGCACATACCTAGATTGAGGATTCCATTCATGGTACAGGAAGCAATAGATGTTTCTCTCACATTGATGTTTTTCTCTCTCTCACTTTTCCACTCTCTCTAAAATCAATAGAAAACATATCCTTGGGTGAGGATTTTTTAAAAAGGCCTGTCCTGTGACTTCTTAATGAAATTAAATAACTCTAAAGTTGATGTCCTTTCCCTCCACTTTACTGCCTCTCTGTCAGTGTACTACTTGGTGTTATACTACTTTTATATGTATTAGGTGCAATTCCCTTGCTGTATTTCTGAGTAATTAGTAGGTAATAGTTGTAAGTAAAGCATAGAAATAAACTTGGTAATATTTACTCTAAAAACTTAATTAACATATTAGAATTGGTATATTTAACATATTTAATATTGATTATCAGGGTTTTGTTTCTTTTAACAATAAAAGTTTAGTTAATTAGTATCCCAAATGTAAAATGTATTGGCTACCAACAGTTTGTAATTGCTGCTCTTTATATTAAGTTATTAGATTTATTTATTTTGACTGGTGTGGGGGACTGCCAGATAAATTATAAAGGATAATAATGTATGCATTATGTCAAATTATGTATTTATATAAATAGAATTCTCTATATATATGTAAATAGGGAGAGGGAGTTTTATGTATCTATCTTTTATTATATACATATATATGGAAACGCACATATATAATTTTTATATATATATATAAATTCTTTTTCCAATTTCAGGACTTCATGTATTTTGAAAGATCTCCAGTGCAACATTCATCAGGATAGATGGACACCGCAAATCACCATTTATGGTTTTAAAAAATTTTTAGAAAGGTTGGCTTGGTCTTATAGTCAACCCTTAATTATCTGCAAACATATTTACCTGCTTTTGAAGATTATTTTAATTTGCTATTAGCTTTGACAGGTAGGCTGCAAATGTAAGAACACAATCTAATGTGTGTTTCAATTGAGTGTCTGTCTCATTGTCTACTTGGTAGAATAGCTCATCCTGAAAAAGCTATGACTCATTAACCAAGTAAATATAGACACAATGAGTTTGAAAACACTTTAATATGTGATAGGGGAAATGAATTACAGAGCTCTCACATTAGTAGGTAATGTTGATCAACACAGCCTCTTACCAAAGGTAGATTTGGTTCGAGTTGAAAACAATGACACCCTTCATCTTTAGAAACAAAAAGGAAGGTAGGCAGAAATATTATATTTTATTGTACAAGGAACATTTCACTTGTGCACATGTATCAGAGCCTCATTTTGTAAAATTTACAAAGATTTCAATGGAAAAATTGATTTTATTATAAAATAAAATTTTTTATCATAAGGTTTATGTTTTCTATGCCTGTTCCCTCATTTGCTAGCATGGACAATCAGGAGCTGCCTTATATATGAAGACAAAGTCAGACTGTCAGGAAAAAAAGTTTACTAGGGCCACAGACACTCTAGGTATCTTAGCAACTTAGAGACATCAATGCCCTTATAAAAAGCTTACATTTAATACATTATGTTCTCTTGGTCACAGATGCCTTACATATTAAATATTTTTGGCCAAATCTTTAAGGTTGCCAATTGAGCAGTTATATCTTGTTTGATATAACACAGAAGAGATAGCTGTTTCCTTTCAAGTAGATCCCTGATAATCACTGTGCTGTTTTAATTGCAAGAATTGGAGAAAGCCTTATAACCACAGACAGACAGAAGAAACCACTTTGCCTCAATGTGACTTGTAGGGAGTGCAGAGGAGGTGCAAGAGGGCTGGCTGGGTTCCCAAGGGTGGCAGCTGAAGATCCAGAGGGATATTTCAGCAGCGAGTGGAGTTCCCTTATAAAGTGTAGGTCTTAACCCCAAACTGAGCTCCCCAGCCTACAACACCAGAGCTGGAAAAGAACCCAGATAACATCCAGCTCTGAAAAGCAGATCTGCCAGGGAGAGATGGCTGGAGGCTCCAAGAGACTCTTACAGGGTCAACACAAACTCTTGTTTGCAGCCACTTACCTTGGGCTCCAGCAGAGGGAGGGCAGAGTGGACTAGAGACATGTAAGGAGAGCCTGGGGATGGTGGCTGTATGGAGAGAACTGAAAGAACAGCCACCAGGATCCCTGTGCTGAGTCATTCCTCGTACTGCAGGACCAATCTTTCTCAGGCAGAGCACTCCTCTCCACATGACATTTGCCTAAGAGGAAGCAAGAGCTCTGCCTGCAGGAATTACTCTGCCCTGCTCTGTGGAGCTTAAGACAGGCTGCTGATTATAGCTTGATTAATTTAACAACTAATTAGTTTAATGGATGACTAGTTTAGCAACTAGAGTGGAAAATACAGAAGCAGCAGCCGAAATGGGAAGACAAACAGAACCAAAATGAAAGAACAGACTTCCAGTCAAAATGGTGGTGTAGGGAGACATGGCTCACCTCTTTGACAGCTGCATCAAAATAAAATTAACATATAGAGCAACCATCACTCAGGAACATCATAAATTGAGCTGAATAGAAGTCTGACAACTACAGAATTGAGTTGAATGGAAGTCTGACAACTATGGAATTAAAGGAACCATATCCATCCAATCTAGTAGGAGGTTGCAGACATGGAATGGGCTGGTTCCACATTCACATGGATAAAAATTCAGGAGGGCTATCTCAGGAGCGAGGAGTCCCAGACCCACACCAGGCCCCCTAGCCCAGGATTCCAGTGCTGGGAGGATCAGTCCCCAAAACTTCTGGCTGCAAAAACCAGCAAGGATTGAATCTGTGGAAGAAACTTCTAAAGTCCCAACCAGTTCCTCTGAAAGAACCCACAGATGACCTCACCTATGCACTCAGTCTCTCTGAGCTCCAGCACCGGGGTAGCAGCTTGAAAGTCACCAGTGGTATACAGGGAGAAACTGAAGTGTCTGACATCAAGACAAGCAGAGGCCATTGTCCCTTTAATAAACCCTCCCACCATAAAGCTGGCAAGCTGGTGCCATATCTGAGACTTCATCAACCTGCCTGACACCATTTGACCCACCTTGGATATCCCCAGAGGCTCTGCCCAACCCAACATACAGGTCCACCCAAACTGCTTTTCCATAAGAATGGCTGGTCTTGGCTCCTAAATCCTAACAAACAAGCAACAGCTGGCTTCAGTGAGCCCTAGGAGCAGTCAAATTAGATTCACAGCTTGGCTTCACCTGGGAATCTCCAAGCCCAGCATAAGCAGTAGCCATCTCACATTGCTTTAGGGCTTAGGCAGGGTGCCCCACAAAAAACACAGATGGGGGATGACCTTAGCCTGCATCACCTGGGAAACCCCAGGGACAGCATACCCAGTGGACAGCTACAGACCATGCCAGAGCACCACCACCCAGTCCCTGTACAACTGATCCTCCACAGACTGTAGAAGTTGGTTGTCAGTGTTCATAACCAGTTCTTGCAGCTGACTGGCCTGGGTAAATCCCTACCATTGACCTGACAACAGCAACCAAGTCTCAACTACAGGAGGATGGTGTACTCAGCCTGCAGGAAGGGCACACCTTGAGTACCCATCTTGGGTGATAGGGGAGGCTGTGCCACTGGACCCTGTAGGACACCTACTATATTAGGCCACACTACCAAGACAGAGTCAAAGCAGCTCTATCCAATATGTAGAAACAAACACAGGTAGACTGCAAAAATGAGGAGACAAAGAAATATGGCCCAAATTAAAGAACAGGTAAAAATTCCAGAAAAAGCTGAATGAAATGGAGATAGGCAATCTATCAGATACAGAATTCAAAATACTGGTTTTAAGGATACTCAAGGAACTTAGTGAAGACTTCAATAGCACAAAAAAGACTCAGCCAGAAATAAAGGATACACTAATTGAAATAAAAATGATTTATAGGAAAACAACAATAAAGTGGATGAAGCCAGGAATCAAACCAATGATTGGGAACATAAGGAAGCAAGAAACGATCAGTCAGAACAACAAAAAGAAAAAATAATCCGAAAAAATGAGGATACTATAAACAGCCCCTGGGACAACTTCAAGATGTCCAACATTCACATCATAGGGGTGCCAGAAAGAGAAGAATAAAAACAAGAAATTGGAAATCTATCTGAATAAAGAATGAAAGAAAACTTCCCTAATTTGGTGAAAGAAATAGACATACAAGTCCAAGAAGCACACAGAATCTCAATTATGATAGATGAAGAGACCCACTCCAAGACACCTCATAATTAAAAGGCTGAAGGTTAAAGGTAAAGACAGACTCTTAAAAGCAACAAGAGAAAACAAGTTAGTTGCCAGGTGGTTGCCTAATGGGAAGGGGATGGGAGAGAATGGGTAAAGAGGTAAGGGGATTAAGAACTACAAATATATAGTTACAGAATAGCCATGGGGTTGTAAATTATCGTATAGGAAATAGAGTAGCCAAAGAACATATGCATGACCCTAGACATGAACAATGGTGGGGGGACTTCCTGAGAGACTAGGGGGTACTGGGTGGAGGCAGGCAAAGGGGGATAAATCAGGACAACTGTAATAGCATAATCAATAAAATATAATTTAAAAAATAAAACCCTACATCTAAAAAAAAAAAGAAAGAACAAGAAAATTCTCCAAAAGAACTAGATGAAATAGAGGCAAGCAATTTATTAGATAAGGAGTTTGCAGGGGGGTCCAACCTTTTGACATCTCTGGGCTACACTGGAAGAAGAAGGGTTGTTTTGGGCAACACATTAAATATGCAAACACTAATGAAAACTGATGAGTAAAACAAAAGGTTTAAGTAAATTTACAATTTTGTGTTGGGCCAAATTCATAGTCATCCTGGGCTGCATGCAGCCCAGGGGTTGTGGGTTGGACACCCCTGGTATAGAGTTATGATTATAAGGATACTCAAAAACATCAAAAAAAGACATAGAAACCATTAAAAAGGATCAATCAGAAATAAAGAATGCAATACCTGAAATAATATACTAGAAGGAATAAACAGTAGATTAGATGAAGCAGAGGATTGCATCAGTGATTTGAAAGACAAAGTAGAAAAAAAACAACACAAGCACAGCAGTAAAAAGAAAAAAGAATTTAAAAAATGAAGAGAGCTTAAAAAACATTTTGGATGTGAAGCAGAACAACATCCACAATGGGATACCAGAGGGAGAAGAGAGTGAGCAAGGGATTGAGAACCTATTAGAAGAAACAATGACTGAAAATGTCCCTAATCTGATAAAGGAAAGACACACAAGTCCATGAAGCTTAGAGAGCCCCAAACAAGTTGGACCCAAAGAAGCCTACAGGGAGACAATTAAAATGACAAAGCTTAAAGACAAGGAGAGAATCCTAACAGCCACAAGAGAAAAGAAGGTTGTTACCTACAAGGGAGCACCAATTAGACTGTCATCAGAAACATTTCAGGAAAGAAATGAATGGCATGAAATATTCAAGGTGATGAAAAGCAAGGATCCACAACCAAGGCTACTTTACCTAGCAAGGTTATCATTTAAAATCAAAAGAGAAATAATGAGCTTCTCAGACAAGAAAAAGCTAAAGGACTTTGTTAATACCAAACCAGTACTGCAACAAATGTTAAAGCACTTGCTATAAGAAGAAAAGGAGAAATAAATTTAAACAGAGGAAAACAGTCTAACAATAAAATGGCACTATGTACATACCTATTAATAATCACCTTAATGTAAATGGCTTAAATGCTCCAACCAAGAGACATAGGGTAGCTGAATAGATAAGAAAACAAGACCCACATATATGCTGCTTCTAGGAGACCCCTCTCAGATCAAAAGATACACACAGACTAAAAGTACAAGGATGAAAAAAGATATTTCAAACATACGGAAAAGGCAAAAAAGATGGGGTAGCAGTACTTATATCCAACAAAACAGACTTTAAAACCAAGGCTATATAAGAGGCAAAGAAGGACACTACATAATGATAAAAGGAACATTTCACAAGAGGCTATAACCCTAGTAAACATTTGCACACTTAACATAGGAGCACCTGCTATATGAAGCAAATCTTAATGGATATAAAAGGAGAGACTGACAGAAATACAGTCATAGTCAGGGATTTTAACATAGCATTGACCTCAATGGGTAGATCTTCCAGGCAGAAAATCAAAAAGGAGACAGTAGCCTTAAGCAACACACTAGATCAAGGGGATTTAATATTCAGAGCATTTCACCCCAAAGCAGCAGAACATACACACTTTTCAAGTGCACATAGAACATTAATTAGGATAGACCATGTGTTAGGACACAAAAACAAGTTTAAATAAATTTAAGAAGATTGAAATCATATCTCCATTTT